CATCACCGTCATCACCACCACCATCACCACCACCATCACCGTCATCACCACCACCATCACCACCACCATCACCATCATCACCACCACCATCACCACCATCATCACCACCATCATCACCACCACCATCACCACCACCATCACCACCACCATCACCGTCATCACCACCACCATCACCACCACCATCACCACCATCATCACCACCATCATTACCACCATCATTACCACCACCACCACCATCACCACCACCATCACCACCATCATCACCACCATCATTACCACCACCACCACCATCACCACCACCATCACCACCACCACCATCACCACCATCATTTCCACCAGCATCACCATCATCATCACCACTCAGTCCTTGCATGTGCTAGGCCCTGTGCTGAGTACTTAGCATGTAATATCTCATTTCATCTTTAAGATAAACCAGTGAAACCACTTTTATCCCCAATTTACAGGAAAGGAAGGTGAGGCTCAGAGGTAGAAAGTAGCCAGTTTACACACAGCTGGGAATGGGACAGCCAGGTTGAGGCATGGGCCTACCCAGGTCCCCACCTAAGTCTACATCGTGACATTCCTTCATCCTTTGTGGCCATGTTTTAACACAACTTTTGAGTTTTTAGTAATTCATTATTCTGAAGGAATGCATAAATCTTCATGATTAGAAAAGCACATGGTACAAAAGGGACAATATGAAAAGTGAAGGTCCCATTCTACCTGCAGGCACACACTTTCATGTCCACATACTTCCAAGATATAACCACTGTTAATAGTTTCATGGGAGAAAAGAAAAAAAGGAAAGGAAAGGAAAGGAAAAGAAAATAGTTTCATGGGTATTTTTCTTTCTTTTTAAAAAATGTTTATTTAAGTTTAATTTAGTTAACATATGTAGTATTAGTTTCAGGGGTAGAATTTAGTAATTCATCAGTTGCACATAACACCCAGTGCTCATTCCATCCCGTGCCCTCCTTAATGCCCATCCCCCAGTTACCCCATCCCCCACCCACCTCGCCTCCAGCAACCCTCAGTTTATTTCCTAGGGTTAAGAGTCTCTTATGGTTTGCCTCCCTCTCTGTTTTTATCTTATTTTATTTTTCCTCCCCTTCCCCTATATTCATCTGTTTTGTTTCTTAAATTCCACGTATGAGTGAGATCATATGGTATTTGTCTTTTTCTGACTGACTTATTTCTTTTAGCATAATACCCTTTAAGAACCCCTAGCCTCAGCAATCAGACAACTAAAAGAAATAAAAGGCATCCAAATTGACAAAGAAGAAGTCACACTTTCACTCTTCACAGATGACATTATAGTCTATGTAGAAAACTCAACATACTCCACCCCAAAATTGCTAGAACTCATGGATATTTTTCTAGAAATATTCAAATATATTATAAACATAAAGGTGTAAAATTTTTTCACAGAAGTAGAATCAGGTTATACATAATTATGCAACTTGCATTTTCACTTAAAAAATACATCTTGGATGTCTTTTGTATTTCATCAGTCAGTTAACTGTCCCTAAAGGAAGCAGTCTTAGAGGTAGATTTGCAGGGTCAAATTTGATGTGCATTTTAAATTTGGCAATTTAAGTTTGCCAAATTTGAGAAAGTGTTTCAAATCCGCAATCCCACCTAGAGCATGTTGAGGTGCCCGTTTGTCCACAAGTCCAAGAGTATGATCTGTCTTTTTAGGCTTTGTCCTTCTGATGGGTGTTTTTATTTGTATGTATTTAATTAGTAACGGAGATAATAATCTATTTATTTATTGGCTACTTGAAGTTTTTAGCGATTCATACCCTTTCCACACTTTTCTGTTCGGTATTTTTGTGCATCTGTAGATTAAGGTCAGTAGCTTTGTCTGTCATATGAGTTTCAGTCTAGTTTCCAAGACTGAGATCTGACCTCTGCCCTTTGTTTATAATTTCTGCTCATTTACGAATATGTTAGAAGCAGGGACTTGTATTAACTTTTTGTCTCCCTCAGTCCCAGCGTCCCGCCCGGTCCTCACCCTCAGGACGCACGGGGCCCGGGCCTTCCCTGGGGACGTGGTGGAGCTTCGCTGTGAGGCCCAGAGCGGCTCTCCCCCGATCCTGTACCAGTTTTATCACGAGGATGTCACCCTGGGGAGCAGCTCGGCCCCCTCTGGAGGAGGAGTGTCCTTCAACCTCTCTCTGACCGCAGAACATTCTGGAAACTACTCCTGTGAGGCCGACAACGGCCTGGGGGCCCAGCGCAGCGAGGCGGTGCCACTCAACATCTCAGGTAAGTTTCCTGTGCCCAGGCCACCGATGTGGACAGATATCCCCTCCAAGGATATTCTGATAATCCTCATGATGTGTGAGCAGGGTACTTCTTCTCAAGGATAGAGACACGAAGCTGAGAGTTCTCTACGTGGTCCTCCTCTGAAGTGTTTCTGAAGGGATGGTACTAGAGTGGGAGCAGGGGGCCAAGGAGGACCGCCGACTTTGATGCTCGCTGGTGGGCCCTGTCCGTCCCGACCCTCCAGCCTGGCCTCAGCCGCAGACATGAGCTTCCTCCCCAAGAGCAGAGCCATTTCCCGGGTTGCTGCCTAGGCTCCCAGTCCTGGTGCCTGGACTCTTCCTCCCTCCCAGGCCCAGGCATCCGCTGCAGGGGTCAGAGCAGTTCAAGACCACGAGCCTCTCCCTCCAGCTCACGCGTGGGATCTCCCCTCCAGGGCTGACAGGGAGCAGAAGTGGCCCTGTTGCCGGCGGTGTGGCTGGGGGCCTGCTCGGCATGGTGGGCCTCGCGGTCTTAGCACAGCTGCTGTATTGTCGGCTCCCCAGGAGAGCAGGTGGGTACCTTCCGCTTGAGGGCCTGCCCTCCCTGCCACCTCCCCTCGGGCTCAGGCTGTCGTTGTAAGCACCCCTGAGCTCTCCACAGCTCCCCACCTTCCCTGCCTGCTCCCCTAGAATTCATCTTTACGAACACAGGGTTCCCAAAATGGCCCTAGTGCACGCAGATGCCTCAATGAGACAGAGTTTATCCAACATCATAAACCTCAGTGTGTCTCCCTCTCCACCCTCACGAGCCCCCAAGGAAGGGGAGGCAGAGGAGAAAGACCGAGGAATAGGAATGAGAGCAGAAACCCAATGGGATCTGACGACCTCCTGATTGTTTAATGTGCAGTATTTCCACAGCTGACCAGACCTGCTTCCCGCCGGCAGCTATGGAGCATTGCTCTTGACAAGATCCTCTTTCATGGTATAACTATGCCCCGCCGCAAGCCAGGGTCAGCAGTTTCCGCCCCATCTGCCACCTCCCTTGGGCAGAGTGGAGCCGGGTCCACCTAATGCTGGCGCCCCATGCGGCAGGTTCTCATGAGCCTCCTAGCAGCCGTGCTCCTTGTGACGGCCTCCTTCCCCTGGCTCCAGCAACCCTCTGCTTTCCCTTGCAGGAGGAAGGCCGACCTCTGACGCTTCCAGGTAAGACCCGGGCTGTGCTGCTTGTGGTTCATGAGATGCCCACAGGGGATAAAAATGAACCAGGTCTGGTCACTGCTGGGGACACAGATAGGTTGTGCCACCTTCGTGTTGCTGTTTCGCTTGGCACATGTCAAGGCAATTGCCAGGACCTCTCACCACCACCTTGGCTACACACACCTTCTTGCATCAAGAGTTAAGTGCTTTTTATTTAGTAACCTACGTTCTCTACCACTGCTTGTCTGAGTGACCACTATAAGACTGAATACATCCATGTCCTAAGCTAGTCTCAGCTTGGGCGCTGCAAAGCTCTGGACATGACCAACCTAATACCTGCTCTGGGGACCCCCGAAAAGATGGAGTCACATGACCGGCCACCCAGAGAGACCGCTCTTCCCACCGGAGGCTGTGCCTGTAAGAAGGGGCTGCCATCTTGGATCCCAGAGACTCACCTTGGGAGCCCCACCATGGCTCACAAACCATCTCTGGGCAAGCGCATGGCCGCTGCATCCAAACCATGCAGAGTTCCTGTGAGCCCTCATCATGACTGATTTCTTTGAGATCCTGATCTAAGAGTTCTAATCCTGGCTCTTGCCCCCTTTGTAGTCACGTGGTCTTGAGCAAGTCACTTCGCCTCTTGGAGCCATCACCTTCTCCATCTATAAAAGAGGGATAATGATAGAATCAGCTTCATATTGTTAAAAGCATTAGCGCAGTGCCTGGTGTGTATCAGGTGCCCACAAAGTCTGGAAACATCGAGATTTGTAATGTGGTTGTTCACACTAGCAGACCGCTGGGTATGTGCTCATCTATGCGTCCAGGCTTGGCAGCCAGCCGCTGGTATAAAGACCTGCAAGCAGGGAGTGATGATTACAACTGCTTCGTCAGGGTTGCTGGGAAACATGGCTATTTCTGTCTCACAGGAGCCCTTCAGACTCGGACCCCCAGGAGCCCACCTACTACAATGTTCCAGGCTGGATGGAGCTGCAACCGGTGTACAGCAATGGTGAGGACCAAGGGCCCCCCACTAGGGCAGGGACCCCAGGGTTGGTCCAGGTGGGGGTGGGGCAGGAGAGGACCATGGGGCTGTGCAGAAGACAAGCTCTGGCTGGGGGAAGTAGGTCGGACAAGAGGCAAGGACCTTATAGCTCTCTGCCCCTTCTTTCCAAGTCAACCCTAAAGGAGGAGACGTGGTGTACTCAGAAGTGCGGATGATTCAGGAGGGGAACAGACATGCAGGTAAGACCCGTGGACTCTTGACTTCGAAGGCACCAGCCGCACGCAGCTCGGCCTCCACCCCTTCTGCAGGTCTGGGCTGACCGGACACAGAGCCGCCCTCGCGCGGGGTCGCTGGTGTTCTTCACTTATGCCCGCCTGCCCTGCTGGGCTCCCCGGCCCCACCGTGCCGGCCGTACTCTCCATCCCCCACCGACGGCCTCCGGAGGGCCTGGGGGAACACCTGCCCTGTCTGGGCTTCGGCATTCCCCACTGTGATGGGAAACGGGCTGGCATTCCTCTTCTCCCTCCATCAGCTTTCTGTTGCTGCCGTGACGCACGTCACCGACGCATTATCTTACCGTGCTGGAGGTCAGAGGCCAGACACAGGTCTCCCGGGCTCACGTCGAGGTGCTGCCCGGGCTGCGCTCCTCTCTGGAGGCTCCAGGGGAGAAAGTACTTCCTTGCCCTTTCTGGTTTCTCAAGGACACCCCTCCCCACGGCTCACGGCCCCTTCCTCCGCCTTCAAAGCGGACAGTGCTATGCTGCATCCCTCTGATCACTCGTCCAAAGCCGGGTCTCCCTCTGAGCACAGCTGGGAAAGTTCTCTGATTTAAAGTTCTCCCTAAAATCTCACCTGAATAATCCAGGATAATCTCCCACTGCAAGGTGCTTAATCTGAATCACATCTGCAAAGTCCCTTCTTGCGAGGTCACACACTCACAGGCTCCAGGGATTGGGACACAGACATCTCGGGGGCATGACTCTTCCTCCCACTCTAACCCACAGGGTTGAGAAAGCAGACATGGGGATGCCGTCCCCGCAGCTTGAGGATGACTCGCTGCTGCTGGGCTGGCTCTGCCCGTCCTCCCCGGGGGGTGCTCAGCCATGACCAGCCCCAGCCCGGCTCCCTCCTGCACAAGGGAGACCTGCCTCTGGGGCAGACTCCCTTTCACCTGTGCTCTGTAAGGAGTGCTGTGTGATTTTACCCATTCTGCTTCCCTCTCTGGTTTTCCGATCCTCTTGTATAAAGTCAAATGAACTGTGTTTGTGCCCATGCTTGGTCCAATGGCTCACCTGTCACACACAGGAACTCGCTCATACCCACAACTTCCTTTGAGGTGAGTATTGTTATTATCCCAATCTTATAAATGAGGGAACTAAGGCCAAGGACCTTAAGTGAGACCGCCCTGAAGTCACAAAGCCTAGATGGTCCCTCCAAGCCAACAGGAGAGAGCCGCCTGCCGGATGTCACATTCCACATTCCAGATTTAGGATAGTATATAAAAGTCATAACAACACCTAACGTCCCATCAGCATGTGTTGAGATCCTGTGTGCCAAGTACAGTTCCAGGTGCTACAAATATATACGCTATGTGCGCTTATATATTTAATGCTTGTTTATGTGTTTATTCATAGCAGTCAGGACTGTACTGGCACACGTGACGGACACTGGAAAATACATACATACACACACACACAAACTCATATCAGTTTACAGTAACCCCAGAGGGGGATGATGTTATTACTCCCACCACATGGAGGAGACCACCAGGGCCGGAGAGGTGGCCGTGACCTGCCTGAGGCCACACAGGTGACCTGGCCGGGCTCTCCACAGTGCATGTGAGGAGTCTGAGCTCAAAGCACTAACAAGAGAAGAGGTGGTCTCAGGGAGCCTGGGGAACTGGGAGGGATGCTGAGGAGGGCCGGGCCCCGCCGGAGGCCGAGGTCTCAGGCCAGGGCCCTGGCAGTACAGGGAGGCTGCCGTCCGGGCAGAGAGAGGACCCGGGTTGGGACGGGGCCGGTGGGGATGTGCAGCCGGGCAAGAGTGCTGGGTCACCTTTGCCAGCTGAGTGCTGCTCTTCTTCCCATAGTGGCTTCAAACTCCGCATTAAGGCTCCTCCGGACCTACCTGCCCTCCTACGGCCCGGCCACCAGCCAGCAGCGGCTTTCCAGACCCCAGGGCTCCTCTGTCATCTACTCGCAGGTGAAGGTGGCATCCCTCCCAGCCTCTGCAGCTCCTCGCAGCTGAGTTCACACACCGGCCCTGCACCCTAAGCCATCCTTCCTGGGGGCAGGGACATGGAAGTGGGAAGAACTGAATGGCTCCAGGCCCCATCCTGTGGCCTCTGCCAGCAGTGTGACCCGAGCACGGGACCTGCAGGACAGTGCTGTTTCCCAAGCGACAGTCTGGAGCTTGTGGGTTTTTTGTCCAGTGACATGTGTCTCCCACCCAGGACCATCTTGTCCCCTGGCTTCCTCAGCAGGCTTCAGGCATGGTCTCTGCTCTGAGTCTCACTCCCACACACACCCCAAACTCTACCCAGTGGGGCCTGCTCCTGGACATCTGTGCCCTGTGGATGCCTGTCCTCCCCACAGACATCTGCCCCCACCCCCCATCGATGCCCGTTCTCCCCGAGGACACCTGTCCTTCTCCCGATGGACACCTGCCCTCCCACGGACACCTGCCCCCCGTGGACACCTGTCCTCCCCACAGACACCTGTCCTCCCCCGATGGGCACCTGCCCCCCACGGTGGCTTTCCTCAATGGTCATCAGCCTGGCGGCACTACTGCAGCACTCAGCCAGGTGGGACAGCATGTGGCCCTGGGAACAGGCACCGGCAGTCTGCAGACCTTCTCACCATGGGGCTGTGTTCCATGCCCCCATCTGCCTCAGACACTAAGGTCAGCCCCTGACACCAGGACAGCTTCTCCCCTGCATACGGACTGATACCCCTGCCCAAGTCATTGGATGCACAGCCCCTTCCCGTGCGCCCCCCAGTGCGGGCACAGAGACGTCCTCGCACCCGTCACGGGAGGGGACACACATTCCAAGCATGGGCTGTTCTGACAGAGCCGCCTCTGAATGTCGTAAAGACAGAGAAGGGCAGCAAGGACGGGGCTTGGAGGAAGTCTGACAGTCCAGTGGGGACCGCGATCTTATGCCAGGTCAAGAAGAAGCCGCGGGAGAGATTTTGGAGACAGGGAAAATAGAATATCAACTATATAGTATTGATACTATTGAATCAATAATCTGATATTACTTTAAGAATATTTTTGAAAATATTTGAAATACCTTGAACTGATTCAGTAAAAATGTCTAAACGTGTGTGTTTGTGTGTGTGTTAGTGCACGTTTCTTTGTGTTTGTGTGTGTGTGTGTCCAGTATTCGGCCCCTGAGCAGCCTCCTGGGAGCACCCCGGGCAGTGAGGTTGGTCCCTGCACACTCCGACATGAGTCAGAAGGTTGATTGCATCAGGGGCCACTCCAGGCCATGCCACACCCGAAGCCAAGAGCCCCTCTCCGGCCTGTCACCCTCCCCAGATTATGTCATCTGAACTGTCTGGCCGTCCTTCGGGGCTAGCATGCCAACCACAGCGCACTGCACATACTCCCAAGACAGTTAAGTTCTGTCGGGGAGTGAAAGGCTCTGGGGCCATAACCGTGGACTACTGGGGGGTGTAGGGAAAATGTAGGACTTGGGTGCACAACAGAAAAACCCAAGCTGACCTCCACACAGCAGGTTAGAAGGCAGTCTGGAGACAGGCAGGGGTCTCTGTGAAGACTGCGTGCAGAGAACAAGTCGCTTGGACGATACACCAGTTAGAACTCAAAGATCCTAACCTGGTCTTAGTGCCTGATGATGCGGTGGAGACCTCTGATCCCCCAGGAGCAGCAACAATAAACATAACAGCAACTAGGAAGCCCCGGAGAAACCAGGCAGATAAGGGAGTCCTGGTTCAAACCTGCCACAGGCTCAATGCAAGGTGGTGGTGGGCAGATGACCGAGTGGAAGGAAGACACCATCCCCCGTGGACCCTTGTCCTCCAAGCGCCCAAGGTTTCCCTACATAGCCTTTTATTTCCCTCCGCAGGGGCCTCATCCCAGTGCTTGCTTCTGCGCAGGTAACGCTCACGGCATCGTGACGCCTTCACGCTGTGTCAGTGCATTTTCAGAATCAACCCAAAGCACAGGACACTTAACGACAGCTGCTTCGGTCTTTTTTTTTTTTTTTTAGAATTTTTTTATTTATTCGTTTGAGACAGAAAGATACAGAGCGAGAGAGAGAGAGAGCAAGAGCAGTGGGGAGCAGCAGAGGAAGAGGGAGAAGCAGACTCCCTGCTGAGCAGGGAGCCTGACATGGAGCTCAATCCCAGGACCTGGAGATCATGACCTGAGCTGAAGGCAGTCGCTTAAACCATCTGAGCCACCCAGGCGCCCCTGCTTCGGTCTTTATAAATGATAAAAACGATAACCTGACAGAAATCTGAGGCGGCGAGCCCAGGCCCATCCACGCACACTATTTCCTCATTTCCTATAGTCGAGAACCAGCAGATTTTTGTCTTGAGATGATACATCGAGAAATAGATTCAAGCCACTCTTTTTAAGCATAAATCGAACCCTGGAAAAACCTTGTAATTTTACAAGTCAAAGCCAAGAAGTAGAGGGACAGGAAGAAAGGAAGGTCATAAAACACTAAATTCTTTCTCTTCCCTACAGTGGAGTTAATAGATACTCTCTAAAGTTGATAAATCAAGAATTTGCATATGGTATCATGACATTCATATTTGTGAGCCAATAACCAGATGACTAAAAACAGAAATTGTTAATTGCAGCAGCAAACCTCAAGTAAAAGGAGGAGAAACTTCCCTTTCGTTGTCTGCTCTGATCTACTGTTTGAATTTTTAAGCACAAGCATGTGTCCATTGCAGGAGAACATGTCTCTGGGGAGGGGTGTCAGAGGGGTTGTTGCTGCACAGTGAAAACTCAAGGTAAAGCTGACCACTAGTGACCACTGGATGCCACTGGGTCCCCGGGCTGGTGCCAGGCCTGGGAGAAGAGTAGCCAGGAACAAGCTGGGGGAGCTGCCTCCCGTCTCCTGGGGGCCACCCTGCTGGAGACTGGTGGCCTTGACAGGTGCCAGCAGCAGGAGAAGCATCCTGCTCCCAGACACGGCAGCCCCAGGCTGCACAGGGGTGAGCACCCTGCCTGGAGAGCCCGCATGGCGTCACCTCTGGAGAAAATGCGCTGATGGACAGGTGCTGCAGGAAGGCAGGGCAGGGCCAGGCGGTGTGAGGAGGGGCAGAGACGGGAAAGCTGAAGGCAGCATGGGATGGCACAGAAGCCCATGGGCCAAGAAGCCATCGCATCAGGCAAGAGGGTGGAGGCCAGACTCCTGAGATCTGCCCTGTCGCAACCTCGTGCCCCAGGTCAGCTGCCTAACCAGAGGGCAGCTTAGTGCGCTCACCTGCAGGGTGGGGTGAGGGCAGGACCTACCCCAAGCAGCTGTGGTGAAGACTAAGATTTAAACATTTAAAAAACTTTTCTCAGCTTGGTAGTCTCCCATAAAGCTACACCCACACTTACAGCAGCCAGCAAGCCCTCCCCCCATCTCTGACCCCAGGGAAGTGAAAACCACCATTTACACCAAAACCTGCACATGAATGTTTTTAGCAGTTTGATGACAAGTCTCCAAAAACTGGAAACAACACAAATATCCCCAAACTGGTAAACAGATCAATCAAATGGACAAATCCCATACAATGGAATCCCACTGGGCTCTAAAGAGAAAGACGGAGCTACTGGTTTCTGCGACCGCAGGGCTGAAGCTCACCTGCATCGCACTGAGTGAAAGAACCATCTTCAGAAACTACAGACTGGGACGCCTGAAGTGGCTCAGTCGGTTAAGCAGCTGCCTTCGGCTCAGGTCATGATCCCAGTGCTCTGGGATGGAGTCCCGCATTGGGCTCCTTGCTCAGCGGGGAGCCTGCTTCTCCCTCTGCCTGCAGCTCCCCCTGCTTGTACTCTCGCTCACTCTCTCTCCCGTGCTCTCTCTCTCTAACAAATAAATAAAATCTCTAAAAAAGAAAAAAAGAAACTACAGACTGCACACATCCATTTTTACGATACTCCTACAAGGAGGAACCACAGGGACAGCTAGCCTGACAGTGGCTGGAGCGTGAGAAGGGCTGGGCTGCAGGGCTCACCACAAAGGGGTCAGGGAAGTTCTTGGCGGTAATGGAATGTTCCGTCTTGACTGTGCTGCTGGTGGTTTCATGAGCGCCTATATTTGCCAAGACTCAGACTATGCACTAAAAAGAGTACATGTTTAAGTGGAAGAAGGCCTGTCTCTCGGGAAGCCTTTGCCCTTGCTGCGCCCCTGCTGGTTCCTCCTTCCCCAGAGCTTTGCAAGGCTCCTTCCTGTGCTGCGTTCAAATTTCTGTCCAGAAGGCCCTTCCGGAGAGAGGCTAGCTCCGACCCCCAGCCCCACGCCCGGCATCTCTCACTGGCCCTTCGGCGCGGCTTCCAGGCTCTTCACGGTCTTATTGCTGTGGGACCTCCTGTCACAGCGGCTCGTTTCCTCACCCTCTCCTCCCGCTAAGGCTCAGAGACCCCACAGCCCCCTTGGGTAATGCGTAGACAGTGCCCAGCAGGGTCTCATTAAGTATGTTGTGAACGATGAAGGAATGATGCTTAGAGCAGAGCCGGGCATGTGGACGGTAGTCCTTACGCGGTAGCTCTACCACCATCATGTCTATTGGTCACTCGTAGTGCTGGTGGTGATGCCAGGCCATGCGTCACCTTTATTAGAATGACACACGGCCCGGCGGTCACGTAAGTAGGTCTTCCTTCTCTTCCAGCGGAAGGACCGCACACATCAGAAAGGCTCAGCCAAAGCCAGGTCAAGCTGTGCCGAGTGTCCAGGCCCAGAAGAGTTGCTAGGAAGCCCCGGGAGGGACGGGGCTGGTGCAGGGGAGGCCAGCATGCTGCTGTGGCCAACCCCCCTGCGATGGGGGGGCCTGTCCTGGCCTCTGGGAGCTCAACGCGGCCGAGGGGACGGGGCTGCTGGGGACCGTGGGGTCTCAGGATTGGTTGTCACCCCACCTGGCGGCAGCTCGGAACCCCACACCTCCGCGCACGCCCCGCCCCGCCCGCGTCGGGGACGCCTTCAGGGTCCCGCCCCCACCCCGCACGCATCAGGGACGCCTTCAGTGACAGGTAGGAGCCAGAAGGTTGACAGCCTGCACTTGAGGTAGCTTTGGTCCCAGGCTGGGGGTGTCTGTGTTGGGAGACGGACGGTGGGATCCAGCGCTCCGACTCACCCCCAGGACGCCCCGTGCGCCTGCGTGGACACACCGAGACGTTAGCCCGAAACCTAATACTCCGGGGGTCTATTTGTTTACATTTTTTTCTGGTTTATTGTCTGTGGTTAAGGTTAAGATCAACTGGTTAAATAAAGTCGTATGTTGAGAAATACAGGGGAGCTGAATGGCTGTGACTCCGGAGGCCCAGATGAAGGCCCGCCAACTCCGCCAGGTATTTTGGGAAGAAGACAGAGCCCGTCCCCACAGCGTGCGTGTAGTTTAAACCCCCGGCCTGCTGGCAACCGTATGGTTACCTTCACCTGTTAGCTAAGCGAGGCGCGGGCAGCTGGTAAAACAGTATTCCCAGGTGTGTCTGGGAGGGCGTTTCCAGAAGAAATCAGCACTTGGATTGGGAGACTGTGTAAAAATCACCCTCACCACTGCAGGTGGCTTCAGCCAAATGGGCTGAGGCCCCAATAGACCCAACAGAACAAAATGGTGGAGGGAAGGCAGATCCACCCCCTGCCTGAGCGGCGCGGCCGCCTTCTCCCGGGCGGGGGGGGCCAGCAGCGCCCGGCTTCTTGGGTCCTTGGGCCGAGACCCGGACTCACCTGCTGGCTTCCGCGCCCCCAGTCCCGCCCGCAGGGGCTCCTCAGCCGCCGGGATCCGGTCAGCCACCCTCGCCACGTCTCTTCCCTCTGTCCCTTACTCTCTGTCTGTGGGTCTGTCTGGCCTGCTGGTTCTCTTCCTCCCGAGAACCCCGGCTGCCACAGCAGCCCCAGGGTGACCAAGACCGCTTGTCGTCAGGGAAGTGCTTGCTCTCGAGATTTAAAGAAAAAGTTTCAAGGCCAAAATCTTTTGTTGCCGTTTGGGTTTGGGTTAGGGTCTTGCTCCTACCAAACTCCTCCCGGCTCCGAGGGAAGAGAAGACCCTGCCCCCAGTCCAATGAAGCCTGCAGACTGGTTTTCACCGAAGACACATTAAAACCTTGATGTTTCAATAGTTTAAAGGATGAAATGTTTAG